CATTTGTCGGGGAAATCAAAGTGAAGTTTTATAACCAGACTCTCATACAAAATCAAGATATTGATGTAATGTTAATAGTATTAATTTAAATCAAAATTAATTTAATGATAAAAATGTGCCCTGCTTTAAGAAACATAGGTACAAATGTCCAACAAAACAAAGAAATTGATTATTTGTGTTAACACACAATTCTTTGTTTTTCTGAGGTCCTTTAAATAATAAACTTTCCTAACAAATTTATGATAAATTTACATTTATACCCAACTTTTCTGGAGTGTATTGTATAAAGTAAGGTATTCCTATATAACATATTTCCCCTTTGAGTAGGAGTGAAGTGGTGTGAGTGAGGTGGCATAGTGGATGGAGCATTAGATCTGGGGTTAGCAAAACCAGATTCAAATGCAGTCTCAGACACTAGGTGTGTGACCCAAAGCATGTCAGTTAACTTCTATTTGCTTTGGTTTCTTCATCTGTAAAATGGAAACGATAATAGTACCTACACTCAAGATTATTGTGAGATAAAAGGAGATAATACTCGCAAAACACTTTGTAAACCTTAAAGCATTTAAAAATACATAGAAGGGAGCAAAAAACAGTTTAGAAGGGGAGATAGACAAGGAGGACAATTTTATTACTATTTAATGTAATATATAGATTTAAAATTTTTGTAACAACTTTATTCAGGAACCTGTAGCTAAGCCGTTGCAAAAAGATAAGCACTCCTTTGGACCCACTTGCATGTTAAGGAACCTTCCTCCTGTCATGGTAATGTTGCAGCTGGGAGCTTGAAAACATCAAAACATCAGCAGGTTTAAGGAAGGAAGAGAAAATGCTATGAAATCAGGATTTTCATGAAATTCTTACTTCCATATAATTTTATATAAAGTTTCATATTCCATCCTCTTTCTAGTCTTTGCAGATTGAAATGTTCATATGTTGCTATTTAAATTTATAATAATATATTTTTTAAATACAGTGTGCTTAGCTTCCTATAGCCTTCAAGCAGTAACTATTTCTATCTCTGCTATTTTTTATAGATATGAAGTATGAAAACCTCAGAGTTGTTTTTAATTATCATTTCTTTTATTAGTAGTAATTTGGAATATTTTTCTAGGGTTGTATTTTCATTGACTTTAGAAGGGCTAGTATATAATGAAGTAATGGAAGTCATAGTGTCTAGGAATAGTGTTATGGTCAAGGCCTACTCAGGGGTGATTTCCTAAACCAGCAACAAACAAAAATCCCAATCTACAATTGATTATCAAGATACTCCCATTAAAACTATACCTTCAGCATAGTCAGAGGAAAATTATTCTAGGTATAAAGAAATGGTAGGTTTTTCTTCTCAAACATTAGTCTATAGTTATGCTGAGAATTGTATTCCTATGCAACAAAAATGCATCAGCTACCTGAGGACAGAGTCTTTCTATGAGTTAACAAGCTTTTCTTTCATGCAGTGACATTGAATTGAGTTTTTTCTTGGTATTTATTCCTAGGTAAAGCGCACAAAAAAAGAGCCACAGCAGCACAGAATCCATGGACATTCACACACACTTGTAGTAGAAAAAGTGAAATCAAAACATCATACGATAATCTTAAAGAACACATTTCTGTTCTTTCTTCACCTGTTTGTGACTTATGCTATGCACACAGGTATTCATATATGCTAACTCGTGGACACTTGTACAAATGCATGTTACAAAATGATTAATTAAGCGTTGTATGTTTTTATCAAAGAAAACAACACGAAGATTTCTCCAAAGTACTGTTTGACTAAAGATGATTAATTTTAATTTTCACATGAGTGACATAATGCTATTAATCATTTAATATGTTTAATCATAATCTCTGTAATTCCTAATTAGGTTTATTAAACTGAAACATTCTGCAGTTGTGGTAAAATTTAAATGCAAGTAAGTCCTCTTCTCTGAAAGGGAAATAAACCATTTTAATTTGCAGTTAAGTAGTAATTTTGAATGAACGGATGAGGAATGAATGAATGAATGAAAAACATTTATTAAGTGCTTACTATGTTCCTGGCACTACACTAATGAAAGATTTTAAGGTAGTTTCCTCAAGTCAGCATCACTGGTCCTCTTATTACCAATAAGGGATGTAATTTTTCAAGATGCTGGGCCTTGGTAGTCTCAAGCTGCATTAAGTTTCTTCAGGCAGTACTTCTGAGAAATATTTTTTGTTCTTGTTTTGCCCTTTAATTCACTTATGGCATTCTACCACTCAAGAAAAGTTGCCTATTATGTTCGCAGCCCAGGAAGATATGGTCATCTCCCTTTGTCCTCAAGGAGATCCTGCTTTCTACAGCAAAGCTGTATTTTCAGTGCCTTTAGTCCCCGGGGTGAAATGGTTTCCACAGCCCTAGATACTTGATATATTAGCATCTCCAGGTTCAGGATAGGGGAGGTAGGAAATCAAGGAAAGGGGTGGGTTTCCAATATTCATTTTTCTTTGGTGCCTGAACTGTTCTTGAGAGGGTCTATTAAATGCTACATTGAAAACACTTTTTAATATATATAATTAGATGGTCCATCACACACACACACACACACACACACACACACACACACACACACACACACATATATATTATATATATATATATATATATATATATATATATATATATTTATATCTCCACCCCAGCAATATAAGGCTTTAGATATAAATTATGACCTAAAGATGTCTTTTTTTTTCATCCTTCTTCTTCTTAAATTAGACTCACTTGTTATTTTGAAATGATTTTAAATCTGTGTTTGAAAGCTTTGTTTACATTTTTCAACAGATGTTCTTTGATACAAGATACGAGTTCTTTCTGCGAATAGGTTTCTAAGGATCTTTCTTACTGAGGCAGTTTGTAAAAATTGAGGGTTGTTAAGAGTACCACTACAAGTAGTGTCATTTCTTGTTCAAGGAACACCTATTACTAGAAGTGTGGGGTACAGGAAGATCCTTTTCTCTACCATTTAGGATTAGAATAGAAAGTTTCTTTCTTTTGTTTGGAAAAGAAATATATATATATATATCAGAGATACCCTTCATCAGAACTGTTACTAGTATGTGGGGTGAATAGAACCTTGCAACATATCACACAATTTAGAGGGTGCTAATAACACTCAGTCCTTCATCAGTAGAGAAACTAGAGAGTTTAGTGCATATTTAGTAAGAATTAGTTAAAATAGTAAGGTCCTAGATGGCAGGCTGGGATGAGTGCTTTCTTCTACCCATCCTAGATCTACTCATAGACTTTAGGGTTTCTCTGCCTGCAACAGAGTATCCTCCCATCCTCCCTCACCCATCCATAATATCCACCTATTTTTCTACCACTTGCCTTGGGTGTGGTTTGTAGACCTCATCACAAGCAGAAAAAACACCTAGTTAAGGCTCTGCTATACATAACTATAATCTCTTTCTGCTTTGGTTACCTGGAAGAAAGAATGCAGTGGAGTCGGAGGAAGCATGACATTGACCCTTTAGAGACAAGTAATTGCAGCTTGGGTTATTGCTTTAAATAGCTCTCCATGTTTAAGCAAAGTGAAAAGGTCACTTGTGATTGATAGGAACTGCTGGCCACCAAGGAAATCCCCCTGTTGGATCTTTGAACAACACTGACTGGAGCTCCTGGACCTGGGCAGCAGCCCCAAAGGAATTTGAATTCTAGATATAAATTAGTGAATCAAAAAAGGACATTTTAAATGATATCTGGGACAAAGTCATGGTTATATTAAACTAACTGATGCCAGTTAAGGATTAATTAGAAATATACCCAATTGTATGAGTCAGTAAACTAATTGCCTATGCTCCAGGTATGGGACTTTGTTGTTCAGTCATATCAATTGTGTCCTACCTTCTGTGACCCCATTTGGGGTTTTCTTGGCAAAGATTCTGGAGTGGTTTGCCATTTCTTTCTCCAGCTCATTTTACAGATGAGGAAACCGAGGCAAATAGGGTTAAGCAACTTGCCCAGGGTCACTCAGCTACTAGGTATCTGAGGCCAGATTTGAACTCAGGTCTTCCTGACTCCTGGCCCAATGTTCAATCCACTAGGCCACCTCACTCCCGTGGGACTAAATGCTGGGAATATAAAAACAGAACTGAAACTAGCCTTCAAGTTTACATTCTAATAGGGGAGAAAATATGTACATATATAAGTAGACAAAAAACCTTGCAAAGTTAATAAAGGTGGTTTTTGAAGAGAGGGCACTCTATCATCTGGGAGAATCACAGAAGTTTCATGGAGAAGGTGGCACTTTGTTCTGAGTGATAATTATTTGAAAATTTGCTGTAGAAAATTACTAACTTATGTCTGCTTATATTTTACTTTTCAAATGAAGTTATATTTCTGTAAACAGCGTCCAGAAAATTCATAGCTCCAGATCAAATGGGCTTCCTCACAGAGCCACTAGAGGAAAGTGCCTTATAATTGTAACTCCAAACCAGGCGAATTAAGACATCTAAAATCACATTGGTGTTAAAAGCATCTAAAGGTAATGATCAGATGACAGGCTTAATATACTAAAAATCATGAGAACAAATACATGCCTCTCCTTTTCCTCTCTAGTGGGCTATGTCAGGTAGGTGAGATTTCAATCTTTTTATATAATATTGGAAATAGGTCTATCCTACTTTTACAGGACTATGCCTTATAAGGTATTTAAAGCATTGTGTAAATGCTTAATTCAGTTGGTCAGCTTTTATATATGCAGTGCCAAACAATTGGTTCATTTCTCCTTCCTCTTCAACTCTACCCCCAACTGAATTTAGTTAATATTTTATCTGAACAGACTCAAGAGTGATACAGGCACATCCTTTGGATTGAGCAAAGCTAACAGACCCTTCTTCTATCTTTCATATTTCAGGACCTCTCCTTGCCTGATTCCTTTATTCCTTGCATTCATTCATTATGTAGTGACGTGGAAAATAGATATTAGATCTGAAAATATACTGAAGACCTCTTTTACTTTGTTTCTCTTTTGTTCTTTTAGCAGACAGATGATGCAGCACAGACTGATGGCCAGCCTCAGACACAACCTTCTGAAAACACAGAAAACAAATCGCAGCCTAAGAGGCTGCATGTCTCAAATATCCCCTTCAGATTCCGGGATCCGGACCTCAGACAAATGTTTGGAGTAAGTACTATCTCTCTGTTTTCATTTATCCATTTTTGGAGAAGCATTCCCGTCCTCAAATAAGTGCCTTTCATAGGCGGTACTTAGGAGGCACAGGGGTTCCTTTCAACAGAAAATGTTCTAAGGCCCAGGCCTAGATGCTACAAAGTCTTCATGTTTCCCATGGGCTATGGCTTAGTACCCTCAGGCACTTCTCTTTCATTTCCCACACATTCCCCATCATTCTGAGAGTCAACCAGATGTTCCTTTTATAAGGAGCATTAGTATCAGAAGAAAAAAATAAATATCAAACTGAATTTGCATGAAGAAATTTTGGTATAATGGGACCATGGAAATCCTTATGGAGCACTTTAAAAGTAAGTAGGTAGATCAGGAGATAGAAGGAGGGATTACCAACTGCAGCCTGGGCACCCCCAAGTGTCACTTTGGGGTCCTGAATCTCACCAACTCTAAAATAAACAAGCATACAAAACCCTGTAAGACTATAAGTGCATTTGTGAGATGAATACAACTATGATGAGATGACTAAAATAGGTATTACCCCCATATAATATATATATGTATAATATATACACATGAGATATGTTTTAGGATTAATGTTTTTCTTGGTACTATAGTCACCAAGAAACTTAAAAGATTCATTACAGTTACCTAAATACTCAGCTTTCTACCTAGGGGAGAAGGAGAATTGAGGATTTATATGGTAACATATATGCTTTTGCTAAAATGCTGAAATGAGGATTTTTTAGGATAAATCTTAAGAATTGATGCTGGAGCTATGTGGCTTTACCTTCATCTGTGAAACATTATTTTCTTTGAGGTAGAACAAGTATGTCAGAGGTATCTACATAGACTACACTTTAACTCAAATTAAAGTTTATGCAGCAGTCATGGCAGCATATGGAAAGATATTTGGCAATAATGCTGATTCCTTAAACTTTCTCTAAAGTTAGCAAATAAGTTATCAGACTGCATGAGAGAAGGGATATCCCAAGTATGTGGTACCTCATTTTCCATCAGGGAGTGCTATGGTAAAGGCTTTGAAAGGTAAATCACCTGTATTCATTGGCTTGTGGACAGTGGGGAGCTATTACCTCTCCCCTGTGCACATTTCCAATAACTCAATACTCCTCAGGGTATAAACATGACTGCATGATATTGTCAGTCTTTTAGTAGCTATAGTTGCCAAATTTGGCCTGGACACTGCAGAACAAATAGGAAAAAAAAAAGGTTCCCTTCCTCCCCTCCCCCAGCTAGTCAAGAGGAATGCACCCTTTTGTTTGCCTTTAAAGGTTCCATTAGCTACTATTGATATTCCCTTCTGAAGCAGAGATTGAGACAGAGGGAAAAATGCAAAGAGAATAATGGAAGCAGATGGTGGAAATACAAATCATCTATTTACCTAAGAGGGTATAGAAGTGTTTCTATCATTTCTATAAAGGGAGGAAATATCACCCAATCTAAATAACTCTAGGATTTGTTTGTTTTCTTTCTTAATAAACATACATGATATTTCATTGAGGCTGTACTTGGCACAGCAACAGAGTACACACCCTAAAATATAAACAATCCAAACTTGAATTCTGACATTTTAAAGGAAAAGGTGTACATACACAATACTCATGCTCACACACACACACACACACACACACACACACACACACACACACACACTTCCATCTCTTATTTGGTAATAACTTTAAACTTCTTCATCCCCTCCAAAGCACAAAGGTACCTACTTACTTTCAAGACAAAGATTGGTTTTAACAGCTCAGCACACTGAAATGGAAGTTAAAGATGCATAACATATAGAGACAATTTTAATGATAGGAAGTTAGAGGAATTCCAGTGTTAAAACATGTGGGTTTTTGTAAAGATGCCTATTAGACATCTTGTTCGTATCAAGAGTTGTTTACTTAGGGGTCATGAAATAGTGCCCACCTGGTAATAAATAGCTTGAAGGCAGTTAGTGTCTTGTAGAACATTTTGACTAACAACCTGAAAGACAGCGGCAGTCTTTCTGAGCCTACATTAGGTCTTGCTCTGCTGCCAAATTGGTGAAATATTTGAATATTGGTGATAGTAGTTCTTTCAACCTTGTAATAGAATAAGTGAAGGTAGAAGAAAAACAATTTTGCCCAGAAAATATCTGTTCAGGTTATAATTGCATTAGTATAAACCAAATGGAATCTTCTTTTCATCTGCAGAGAGCAGTGGTGTCAAACCCAGATGAATTGAGTTGAAGGTAGTGGAAATAATGGTTCACTTACTAATCTCTGGTATACAGTGAATTAAATAATGTTCCCTATTTTGGGAGCTTCTTTACACATTCCAGACAGACATTATTCAGCTCCTGAAAGGCAAGGGCTCTGTCCCACTCATTTTTACAGTGATTTGGATATAGTAAGCTTCCAGTAAATATTTGTTGAATTAGAGTGTGCATAGCATCTTTCTTCACCTGGTGTTATTACCCATATAATTCACATTATATGAGTATAACTATTACAAACTGGGTTAGAGATACCCCCCCATAAGTGTTTATAATATTGCTTTCTCTACTTTGACCATCTGACCAAAGAATGCAGGGAATACAGGAAGGGTGACATAAGCCCCCTAAGCAATTTGAAAGCAAGAAGGTAACCCAACACAGGTTAATGACATCCACCTATTTTGGCATCATATAGATATAAACTCTGTATTCTTTATTGGGTCCATTTCTGAATTATTTGTATTTTTAAGATACAGAAATGCTTTTACTTCCAGCCTGAGTGTATGACATTATTCAAACTGGACTAGAGGAAACATTATTAATACTTTTATGAAATTTACAATGCTTTAAAGCACAATCATAGCACAGTAAATGGTTTTCAAAAGTATTGACCATTTTATTTTTAATTAATGTTTTGGCATCTTTTCAGTATGATGCTGATAGGGTTTGTTCTATACACCCATTGTCCTTTGAAGCATGTGTTCCAGTAACTCATACATCATATTAGCTGTCTCCTTCCTTCCCATACTTTGCTAATCTGTTAGGTCACAATAGAAAACAAACAAATTTATTTACAGAAGTTTATGTAAGCATGATACTCATGGTCTGATATCAGTATCTTTTGACTCATTCTTTGTACTTGTTAACAATTATACTACAAAGAACATTGATTCTGAATGAAAATTTGATGGCCTAATGTGACAACATGTGTTTTTTGTCAATTTCTTCTCTCCATAAGCCATGTATCTTTTTCAGGTAGGAAGTGTTCATCATTATAGGTATCATCAACCTTTCACACACTTCTGAAATAACATAACTTCCTTAACATTCTTTATTTGCCTTTGAAAAGATAGCTTGACCTCCCTTAACCTCCCTCATTCAAGAATTCCTTGATTCTAGAGGGAATGATTTGATTGTTGCTCAATCTTTTCTTAAGGTTTGTAATTCACATCTATAGTTACTGTGGGATTGTAGTTGACCTTGATATATTCAGAAACTACTGAGCAGTGAACACAGTTTCAAAATTTAACAGTTACTATATAGCATCCTTATATTGTTTTGCTTATCAAAACTGAAGTCTTTATATGGGAACATATTCTATTCAAATTTCAATTAATGAACTAGGTGACTTTCAAAACATGCAAAACTACGTCTTGTAACCACTATTTTGTTAGTCAAAAACATATATGATAGCTACTTCATTGTTTATGCCAAATATCTTGTTTTTCAGGGCATTGAGATACTCTCTTTGGCCACTCTTATTGCATCTAGAATTACTAGATACTAAATACATATAGTTAAACTCACACAAAAACTGGTTGAGAAGATTCTGTTTCTTAGTCATAATGTTCAGTTCTTTAAACTAACTTTAGGTTTTTTTTAAATGCTATATTGATTTATCATCCCATGTAGTTTTTCAGAAAAACATTATTTGATCCAAGATGATCTGTAACTGCTTGATACATCTATTTCCTCTACTCCTTATTTTGAAGCTTTTAGATGAAGTTCTAATGTATATAACAGAATGGTTTTTTTTTTAATGGAATCTGAGATGTATCATAACAGTGTTATTGAGCAAACACCAGTTATGTCTTTGTCTTGTATAGTGTCAATTTGCATTGAAAATATGCCAGCTATCTTTATATCATCAGTCAAGTACTTCTCAATCAAACTTTCTATCATTCTTCCAGTACTTGTCTCAATAGCTCTAAATATTACAGATTCTGTGTGGGACATCATTCTTGCACACATAAAGTATCCCAGGAACAGAGCATTATTGTTCAAATTAACTACAGAATCATTCTACTTTGGGTTTTTGTTGTTGTTGTTGTTCTGTTCTGTCTTTTCTGACTCCTGGTTTTAGAACAGGAGTTTCACGATGTCACCTCAGAGAACTGTCAGAGGATATCTGAGACACTGGAGGCAGAGGGCACTTCTTTATGATTCTCCATCCATAAATACATTTGTTTCTATTCTCTCATTCCTGATATTAATTTGCAACAATGTGTCTTTCCTATATTCTGAGTAGAAAGTATAAAAATATAGTGCTACTGAGTAACAGAAGCCATGGGGTGTTAGGTTAGTTTTTAATATAAAATGGCAAATTTCTTGTTGAAAGGCAAATCCTTTATTTCACCCAGCTGAATCATATTTAAGAAAAATTCTCACTGTTGAAGTTCAGAACACTGAAAAAGCCCAACAGAAGAATATTCTCTAGACCTAAAGATGTTTGCAAACTGAATGAATGTTTAAAGTCAAATCCTTTCTCTCCCCTTATTTTCTTTTGAGAATGTCATACCTGCAATAGGCATACATACTGGTCACTGCAATACAACCTTCCCTCTTAAATGATCAATATATTCATTGCATCATTTCTGGCCAAGTTATTCATGTGACACATTTTTGATCTGCATATAAGAAATGTGGATTTTTTTTCCTTCACAGCTTAGCTTACTTTTCTTAGTGCCTTAATCTTTCTCTTCTTTGAAGACAAAACCTACTTTATCTGAAAAATATATTTTTGTGGGTGTCTTGGATAATTATATTAAAAGAAAGGAGCCCCAATCTCTGGAATAAAATAACTTAGACTTAATTAACTTTCTTCTACATTTAAAACTTTTCTTTCTTAGCTTCTTGAGCAATTTATTGTTGACAGTTTCACTTTCTACCTGTATACAAAACAATTTTTTTACGTGCACACAATGTAGTAGTTTAACCCTGTTTTACACCATACATTGCCAAGCAGTGCTTACACCTTCCATTTGTGGAATCATCTAGATTTGTTAATACCCAGCTGACTCGCTTTGCCAGACTCTCCTGGTGTTTCTGTAGAGAGAATGTGCATTGGTCCCATGCAGTCATATCTGTTCTTCACTGTCTTAAACGAATTTTCCCTACTCTTTCTCTCTCTGTATATATATATACCAACCAAGGCCCTGACCTCTACTTAATGGTTGCCTGCAGCCTCAAGAATACTTGGGTTAGAGAGTAGTTCGGATAGATAGTATATCAGCTGGGTAAAACAGGTAGGGAAGGCAAACAGAGTAAAATGAAAGCAAAAATAAGAGGAAAAAACTCATAAGTTGAAGGTCAGAATATTGTTTACCATCATGAAAAGGGTAGTTAACTTTCAATTATTCATGTATGTCTTTCTCTTTTTTTATTAGTGAAGTAGATCTTAAATTCCAGGATGACTCTGGCCACTTAGTGCACATCTAGTAGGTTTGTTCGCTAGAAATAAACTGGTTCCTGACCAAAATGTCAGCAAAGGTATTTTATTGGGAACTGTCTTGAAGCAAAAGGGAAATGAATTTGAAGGTTGATTAATATTGATATCTATGCCACTTCTTATTGACTATTCCCCTCTCATAGTGTGGATCAAACATACACTGGATACATATTTCTTAAATTTTTCAGCATTAATAAACCTATTCTAAGTCTCACATATAAACAAATACTAAAAAGCTGCATTCTCATAGAGCCCCAATTTAGCTACTCTGATGGTTTTAAAGATTATTTTTCTAATAATATTGAAAGAATCATGACATGGCAGATACTGTTTACTCTGAAGACAAATCAGAGCTATACACATGTTTTGAGTATGGACTCGGTCATCAGTATAATTCTCATTTCTTTGTGTGTATCAACCAGGCCCTCTAATGTCATCCCTACCTTGCTCTCTGGCTGTTAAGTATACCACAGTGGAAAGGGCTGTGATATCACATATATCAATTGCCAAACCCCTGCTGAAAACCAGTGTTGCCAAAAAACCTTTCTCCCACTGAAAAATGGAATAGGCCAGTGACACTAAAACATTCCTAATGCTATTAATATTTTGTTTGTATTTACTTAGCAAGTAAGTCACCTATACTGGACTAGAAATTCTGCCTCAGGATTTCATAATATGGGAATATAGCAATTTTGGTTGGATTGCTTCTCTCTAATCACACCCTTTAACTGTAGAGTTTTAAATACAGTTTATGCCTTTGATATACCAATATTTTCATACTCTGAAATAATTGCCAGTTTGTGCAGCATGACGTGCTTTCATTTGCTCATGTTTATGTATTTCTGTTTCTTTGCAGCAATTTGGTAAAATCTTAGATGTTGAAATAATTTTTAATGAGCGAGGCTCAAAGGTAAGTTGTCTAATTCATTCTAGGATATTTTAGGCTACTTAAAGTATTTTTATGAGTAAGGGGGAAACAACTGCACTGATGTAATAAAAGCATGGTATGTTTTTAAGGTATAATTTAATGGAAATGACTTTAGAGAGCTACACAGTTTCCAAAACATTGTGAAATTTATTGGGTCTAGCTTAGTATGTGTAAGAAGTAGATCTTAAAAGCACCGAATATATCAACATTTTCATTGAAAATTATTTGTGCTTTAAAATAATAATGATAGTTTATGCTTATGTATTTTTGTCTTTTAGGGGTGACTGTGTGAAAATGAGTTGGCATTCTCATGAGAAAGTTTTTTGTAATGTGATTTTTTTCCATATTATTGAAGTGCAGTTCTTTTCCTAGATAGTAAAGAAACTTCTAATACACCAACCCTTTGAATACAATCAAATTTTTACTATGTGTATTTATATTTTGAGTTTTTCTCATTATTGTCACCTCATGTTTACTAGGAAACTGAGTTTAGGATAAACTCTCTGGGGGCTGAAAATATAATTAAATTAGTGAGAAGCTACTATAAAATCATTATTTGTAAAAGAAGGCCAAACTTCCTCCTTGTCAGTTTTTTCCTGGGATACAACTAGCAGAAATCAATTTCTTAAAATATATAGTTGCATTTCTTATTCTCATTTTACTTTAATTTTTTTCCTACAATCTTCCATGTGTTTTCACATTCACATGAAAACACTCAGGCCTTTTATTCACAAAACAGTGTTTATATCGAGTGGTTCCCATGTGCCTGGGAACACAGTGAACTCATATACATCATCCAGTTATTCCTGGGAGGAGCTAATAGATAAAATATTTTGCAGGTATACTCTTCTTATCATAGTACCATAGTACCAGTTAAGAAAGTGATTTAAATAATTTACTGAAAGATATCTTTGCAACTTGAAAGGGTGTAACTATAATATTCCCACCTTTTCCATAAGACATTTATTGGGCATAACAGGGAATGTAGTAGCAAGAAGACTGTGATTTAGAGTATTAGAAATTTCAAGTTCTATTTTCTTTTATCTATGGTAAAATACCTCGATGGATCAAACTATGATCTCATTAATGTGAGTACTACCTTCAGTAGTACAGATGGCAACCCATCTAAGCCATCTCTTCCTGTGAGACTTTTTGTCTAGATCCACATGGAAATCTTCCATGGCAGTGCACCCAGTATATCTGATCTCTTGGCATTGTGTTCATATGTCAGTGGAGCACACTGGTTAAACATCACATTATCTCTTGTTCTTGCTACATGACTGCTTCATTTCTTTTTCTATTCATACCTATTTCTCATAGTTTAATTATGCACTTGTACACAATCCTTCATTCATAATATGTCACTGCCTCTTCACACCCACTGTGAACCTTTCTCTTGTTTGTGGAGTGATCCACAACTTTAAGTATTTGGAGACCATACTCTTCTACGACTGATAGCAATAGAGCATTACCAAAAGGATATGGGATTTAAAAAGATAGGCCTTTCTTGTAAGCAGAAGCTGGGGGTGAGAGGGTCATTAAAAGCACTATGTAGTTTCCCAAAGGCCTCCTAACCTGCTTTCCCCTTTTTCAGTTCTGAGATCAAGTTATTGTCCAATGCTGTATTGCCCTTACACTGATGGAACAAATCTTAGGCTGTCTTTATACTTATGGACTACAAATTAATTATGTAGCAAGGAATCACCTACCAGACAGGCATACCATCTTTTTTATGATACTCCTTGGGCCATAGAGTCAGAAATTAGCTGTGGTCTAGGTTGTCCTTTAGGCATTAAACAGCTGGTTTTAAGTATGATAGTCCACAGTTAGCTCTTTTGTGTTTAACCCCTCAAAGGAGGAAAAAAGCATTATTCCTTTATTGAACTGTGTGCTCCAAAACAGGAGCCAGACATGTGGCCTGCAGGCCACAAGCAGCCCACAACATTCCCTAATGCAGCTCAAACCAGATTAAAATGTAATTGGAAAATATTTAACAAAATAAGTGAAAATAAAATAAAGTATGCATACTATTACATTTTAAAACTAGGTTAATATGCAGTTGATAGGCATTATTTACAGAATACTGGTCCCTGTTTTCTATTTGAGTTTTGATACTACTGCTCTAAGAGATTCAGCAGTCTCCCTTCCAAACAGACATAAAATTAACCAAAGAAGAGAATTCTGGGGGATGTAGTATTCTTTCCCTGCCACCATACTGGTAATGCTTATTAGTATGAAAGATTGAGAAATTAGTTCACCATCGCTTTCTCTTCTGCTGCCTTAAGAACCCTGTCATATACACCTACCGTGTCAAATATTTTATGGTCATTTTTTTCTAGCAGTTCAATATTTTGACCTCTGACCTTTAAAATCATATATTTTCATCTCAGATATTTAAGAAGCACTATAGAAAGTTTTTACATTAACAGTGAATTAATTTTTTTTGGTAAGTTTTTTCACCCAGGCCTAAATAATGAAAAAAAATATGCAAAATATGCAAAAATAATGCAAAAGAAAATCAAAGCCTGAGTTAGATTTTTACAGATTTTATTCCAAGTCCATGTCTGAAAAATTGCATTTAACTTTTGCAAAACATTTTCTACATTTTTGCCTGTATATGTGTGTATATAAATAAGCATAAACACATTTACATATAGCTATCTATGTATAAATACAGAGAACACATTTTATTCATAAGCCTGCTTTTTCTGAGCTGTTTTGGGACATTAGAAGAATGTCATTTGCAATTCGGAAAGTACAGTGATGCCGCTGTTTTTAAGGCTACCATCATCTTCGTGATTTGCCTGACACCAGGAACCTTAAGAATAAGCCCATTTACAATTGCATCTCATGAAATATTTTAGTATAGCTTCCTTTTTTGATTGGGAAACATTAAAAATAGCTTCTTTTAATGGGTATCAGTATGTTTGCTAGTAAAGATTTACTCTTATAGGTGTGTTTTTCGGGATCCTTCTATAACGTGGTCCTGACATAGAAAAGACAGAACAGTGGTGACTTTCTAAATTGCAGCATTAATACCTGTAGGAATATTTTGTTTTCCTTTAACTGATATTTATTATCAAATATAAAGTTTGATTTGATGAAGGGAAGCTTATTTACAGTTAAATATCTATTTTAATGGGTGAAAAATTATAATGCCCTCACTGGTATCATTTTGAATTAGGAAAATGTCAACAAATAGGTAAGTCTGTTGAGGGCCAGATTGAATAATTTTGGATATTTACTTAATAGAGTGATTAGTCCTACCTAGGGATACTCCATTAGTATTAAACGAGGATGCTATTATCATCTCAGGAACATATACCAAGTTTTATTTATATATGAAAAGCTGTGCCGCATGATGGATATAGAGATGGTGTTGGGAGGCTGGAAGACCTGGATTCTAATCTTACCTCTACCTCTACCAAAATTCTGGCTGTCTGACCCTAGGCAGGTCACCTAAGCTTGTGGTACTTTAGGCAACTTTCTGAGATTATTATTTGTAGATAAAGTACTAACTTGCAATAAAAGAGGAAGTTTCCTCACTGGGAACTCCTTAAACCAATGAAATTACAGGTCTATTTTTTATCCCTCTTTGTTAATATTTATTTCTTTATATACAAGTAAGAATGATATAGGTTATAAAAGTAAATAACACTTTCAAAACAACTATATAAATTTGGATCTGGCTTGAGATTGACTTTAAAGTTGTTTTAAATAGTGAGTACCCTCAACAGAAATAAAATTTGATTTTGTTGGCAAAAATTAAAATTATCTACCATTTTGGTTGCATTTCTATTGCAGAGAGCAACATACATCTGCCTATTTAATAGATGTATACAGTGCTCTTCTAAGAATGGGATAAGGTAGTAAGTAAAAACGCCAATATTCATAAATCAGCAATATCTTCAGAAATATAGTTCATAGTTATATGATTCATATAAACTATGGTTTCATAGTTATAACTCACATATAAAATGATTATAGGATAATAGCATTTTAGCCCTAGAAAGAACTTTTGAAATAATCTAGCTCATTCCTCTCATTTTACAGATGAGAGAAGTGGCATACTTAGACCTCTCTATATCCCCAGTGCCAGGACTAGCCTGCCTGAGGTTTCAGGTTTTGAAGTTCTATACAAACTTTTAAAAAAGAACTTCTTATATTCTTTTCTATGTTGCCCAGTTTCTCTGACTCACATGTTCCTAGACTTTCACCATACTTTCTGTGATATCTCTCTCAGAAATAAGATAACTGTTGGCTGTTTTAATGTTAGTGGAAGGTTAGTTTAGATTCTATTCATTCCTCATTCCAGAAGGCTGCAGAGTCTTCTGAGGGAAATAATTTACTCTTGTTCAACAGCAAAAAAAAAAAAAGGATGCTCCTGTAATACCAAATTTGAAAAAGGGGACAAGCTGGCATATTTTATGCTAGAAGTTGCTGATACCCTTTAGCATTGGAGCACATTTATAATCCAGGCTCTCTCTCTCTCTCTCTCTCTCTCTCTCTCTCTCTCTCTCCATATATATAATGTAACATATAATATATAATTATATATATATATATATATATATATATATAATTATATAAATACATACACACACATATATAAAAATAAAATCCAGGCTATAATCCAGACCTTGGGTTTTGAGTTAGCTAATTTGGCTGCAGTGATATAATAAACAGATAATTAATTGCCAGAATACTTCCTTCCTTTGTTCTGTCAGACTTAGCCCCAGTGCCTTTTTTTGTCTTCTGCTCTTCAGATAGCTTTCTTTCTAAACTGACATCTTCTCTTGTCTTGACACCATATTTCTGTTTATGTTACCCAGGGAAAAGTGTTCCTCATCTGGCATGAAAGAACTTTTTAATTTTCAATGTAGCCCTTTCTTGGAAGTTAAACACAACTATCAGGTGTTACATCACAAGCTGTTCTGCTTTTTAATTCTGAATCCAAACCAAGTTTAATCTTTCCCACTCCTTCAGTTTGAGTTGAAGGCTACATACCCTAATAATAATTCCATTTACGAGCACAGTATAGCTAGCTATGCAGCTAGCTGTAGGAAGTTCTAACATGTAAGACTGAAGATTTCTTTTCCTCCCAAGACTATCACCCGCTATGAAATGTAAGGAATTTGGCAGATCTTTTTATGAATAAGGTGGTACTGATTTTTAATAAGCAATGAAGTACAGTTTTCCCTACCTTATCTTACCTCTATCTGAGAAGCTTCTAAAAATCTGCTGTACCTCTTGGTCCTTGAATCCTTTTAGCTAGAAGAATGGAATAGAGTCAGATCCCAATTAGTGTGAACAGTAATCTCATGAAGTAGTTGCAGTATTTGAACTTGTACTGCATATTTCAATTGGACTGTAGCCAATTACCATATTTTACATAATTTTAAGTTATAATAGCGTGAATTCAAAATACAGGCAACACTTGACAGGAATTCATTGTTCACACTAATCAAGACCTAGCTATGCGACTGCCTTCCTAGCACTAAAATGATGCAACACTCTACATGAAGTCAAAATTTTATTTTTGGCCTTCTTTCTGTGGCCTGCTATCACTGAACATCTCTAACACCAAATTTGCCTAGCTTCTACTGATCATCCCAGTATCTTGCAACTGACATTTTTGCTTGAGAATGTTTAACCCTAGGGGAAAAAAATCAAATAATAACTTCATAACTTAAATCCATTTTGAAACCAATTTAGTTTGCAAAAGATTACAAATATATTAGGAGTTCCCTTTCCAGTACCTTTCTCTGAGATTCAAGGCAGAGAAATTTTTTATCACGCTCTGTCTTCCTGATAAACCCTTTGGGTCACTTTGATTTCTCATAGGATCAAACTGGCGTTACAAAAAACTAAATCCCTAACTTTGAATATCATAAGTTTACGTAAGAGAATATTGAGACAAGTAATCTATAAATTTTAGACTTGGACAGACACATTGTCTTGAAAAATTGATATGATTTGGAATGTCATCTTTCATATAGAAAATCTTTTCTACACAAAAATGATGTTGTTGAGCCACAATATTTAAGACCATTTGCTTAAAGTTGTTGGGTGTTCTGTTTTGTTTTTCAGTAGTTAACACATAGGTTCAATAGAATCATTCACATACTCTGGCTTAGATATTTTTCCTTATAACCAATAGCACACATTTGTATTATGGCTGCTACTTTGAATTGTATGGCCATGGAAGAGAATCTGAGAGTTGGCCCACCCACTTAAAAGGGGATAAAAACCTGATTTGGCCTTTATATTAATGCCATGCCATAATTAAATTACCTAACACATGGAATCAGCCTACCTTCCATTCTAATTGTAGAGTACAAAACTGGTGGTCCTTGCAAATCAAGAGCTAGTCTCTAGGTTCTTCTTTTCGGCCTCTGAATATCCTAGATGGCTGAGTTCAACCTATAAATATAATAAAAATAGCTAGCATAAATGGCTAATTTATCAACCTATTTTTTTTAATGGACACATTTTGTCCAATATGGAAGCTCCAACAAGTCTTAAAACAGCATTCATTAGTAATAATAATATTACTAAACTCTGTCGTATTTAGTCCCAGCTTATCAAGTCAAAGTTGGGGGAACAAAATGAACAAAGTTTACACTGGAATTGTTTCAAAGGGCTGGAGTAGGTTTCTGAACATAATATGCAATTTTGTTTTAGAGTTTCAAAAACAATATCATTTGGAGGAGGGAGGTCTCTTCTTAGGTAGCAGTGTCAGGGAAGAAATGCATGTATTTAGCAATTTTAAGTTTAGTGTTAATTAATGAAACTGTAATAGTAAAATAAAACTATGCCAGTAATGTACTTTTAAAAATCAACTATTAGCAACTGGGGAGGTGTTTAAAATATGTCATAAATAATGTATTCTAGATAAATATACTTGTATTTTTCTGAAGAACTGATTTATGTAATAGCTATGTCTCAAAACTACTCAGCAAGTACAAGCATTTCTCTTTTGCTAATAAGGGAGTAAGGAAAGTAGGCAATTGAACTTGCATGCAACATGACCTAAAAAAAAGTGTTGATGTAAAGTGCTTAAAACATTCCTTGAACTATTTGCATTCTTAGTTGAAATTTATATTCACATCAAGTGATTTTTGTTTATTATATTAAAACATTTAAGCTTTATTATGAAAGATCTTTCATTTGTGAGGGTTTTAATTTATTTTTAATAAGTAAAGGCTGTGTAGCATTTGGAAAAAAAATTAAATAACCCTAGTGTTGCATGAAGAAGAAATGTTCTTACAACCACACGGCATGACTCTGTAGGCAATGTTTTAGAGTATACTGGCATTCAGTGTTGAATTTTGTGCACAATTTAATTTGTTTTATTTTATTTTATTTTTTTAAGATCTGCATGTCAAAAAGTGGTTCCCTTTATCTTCTCATTATTTCAGTTTATTCTCTGTGAAGACACTGTAAATTTATTTTGATCTCATTTTCTTTCTGTTAGATTTATTTTCCTCTGTAGTGACATTTAGAAAGGTATTTTTGGTATTCTTTGAATTCTTTAGGGGGTATATCTAACTGGTGAAAGAGAGGAAACTTGTTCACATTTATCTCTTACTTATCGCACATCTTAGTACTCTTATAATTTCTCTAATTTGCATGTTACAGAAATGAAGCAAGGACAAGAGATAGAAATTAAATGGAGAGAACATTTAAAAAGTGATCATTGATTGAAATAATAATGTGCATGTTGTTTTCCCCCCTTCTCCCTCCTGCATGCAGGGATTTGGTTTCGTAACTTTCGAAAATAGTGCCGATGCGGACAGGGCGAGGGAGAAATTACACGGCACCGTGGTAGAGGGCCGTAAAATCGAGGTGCATGTTCAAAATATTTTCCTTTTCATCTTTTTGATAAATGTCTGCTTCACTCTCATACGTTGTTTCAGATGCATCATTGGTGTCCTGTGTGTGCGCCCCTCCCCCCTTTCCCATTGTTTATATATATATATATATATTTATATATAAAAAAGGAAATCTGGCCTTACTTGTTTTGTTTTATTTTATTATTCTCATTCTTATTGCTGAAAGGTGTATGACAGAAATGAGACAAATGAAAGCTTAATCTTTTGAACTTATTATTTTCAATGTTTTGTAAATCAATGGGTGCAGTAGATTCCAAACAATAGAAAAGCATGACAGAGCAAACCAAAAACAAAGCAGCTTTTTTTTTTTTCTGCTGCAGGGTTGACGAGGGATCCGCAGTGGCTTTTTTTTTTTAAAACAAATTGGGAAACACAAAGCATTACTAAAAAATAGAAGAAGAAGAAGAAAAAACATTTTGCTTCTTAAAGAAAAATCTGAGTTATCAACAGTCATGTTTTTAGGGTTAGTAGCCTGTACCCTCTCTAGAAGGAAAAAAAGTGGGGAAGCAATAAAATGTTTACATAAAGAGCCTGCTTTTTCTACCACCGGATCCCCCTCAACACTGCCATAGGATTATAATTGTTAGAATTTTAAAAAGAAAAAAAAATACCAATTGAAAATGCTGTAGTCTTGGAGTAAGATGTTGCATATTTTGCCTTTCATTTTCCCCCTCGACGGTAGCGCTTAGGCCCCTCACCAAACTCTCAGTAACCATGGTAACTGTATACATACCCATGCTGGCGATGGTGCTGAATGGTAAGTGGAGAAGTCCATCTGCCGTTTCACGTATTTAGCGCTGATATCTATATCTATATCTATACCACGTGAATTTTTTTGACTTGTTGTATTAAGTTTTCTTGATGCTCTATTTTTTTCGATATTGGTACGCCTGTAATTGAGTGTACGTTTTAAGCAAGCCTGGGAGGCACTGACTGGACTGAGGATATGACTTGGTGCACATCTTACTCGAATTGTTAACTCCATATTGTGTTAAATAATGCACCCTCTTTTTTATCCTTTTGTTAGCTGTGATTTTAAAGCTTGAATGATTTTGTTAATTCTTGCAATGAAAAAGGCTCTTGTTTCCAGTGTTGAATGCTAGATGTTGCTTTTCCAATGGTACTTATCTTCTAAAGGGTTATGTTGCACAATGCTAAAATTTGTTTGTCCCTTTTTTTTGACATTTTCTGTTTCCTTGTACCTTGTCTCTTCCCCTTCTACTTCACTGCATGTTCCTTCATATGAGAGATTTTTTTTCTGTTTTTAAATATTTATTGTTTCAGTGTTACCATGGAGTACACGCATGCTTTTTTAATCTTCAATTATGCAGTACCTTTTAATTTGCTTTTAATGTCTCTGTATTAAACTTTTAAATGATATGATGTTGCTTTATTGAAATGATTTATAAGTTTAAATGGTTATGAAATAAATGTAGTTATAAATAGTATGATTTTGTTATGCACCTACTGCCTTTTATAAATTAAATTGCATTTTCATATGAATACTAGTAGCCATAATGCATGCAATTAATAGAATTACAACCTTGCTCAGCAAAATTTACTAATTTGATTTTCTATGTACTTAGGTAAATAATGCTACAGCACGTGTAATGACAAATAAAAAGACAGTCAACCCTTATACAAATGGTAAGTGCAGTTACACCTTTCATGGGAAGTCATGTTCTTCCTTCGAATGAAAAACAAGTAACTAGGGAAGCTCCTTAAGCTGGGCATGTCTCTCTCATCACCAGAACTTGTTTTATTTTACAAATTTAGTACAATGTTATCTTCTGAACAAATTGGGGGATTTACAGAGAAGCTGCCCATCTGGTGGTCTAGTTAAGCATATAGTCTTTTCTTTCAGTCCCTCCAGGGTGGTCCCAATTTGATGGTACTCTCATTGTTGTAGGGTCAGTTAGACTAGTTGTTAGAAGTAAGAAAACAGAGTTGTGGAAGAAAAACTCCTTTTCCCCCCTTTTTAGTTTCTTTCATACTGACCAGGAAATTATGACACTGTCACATTAGAATTTGGCCCTGATTTCAATCCTGACTTGGTATTGTGCACTAGATCCCTAGCCATTTTTAGTTGGGTAGAATCACAATGGGCATAGCCTGGCTAATTTAAGTGAAAAGAGTTGACCATGCAAGCAAGTACCACTTTGAGTTCTATCATGGTTGTCCTTGTAACAGAGAGAGAGGAAGAAAATGAAGGGAGATGTTAAGATCATTCCTACATATTAGACACCCCTTCCACATTATTGTTTTATACCCCCTCTCTATGTCACAAAAAATGTTGTACAGGCAAGTGTTATAGCACCTTGAAGAATAATGTCATTTATTTAGATGTTATCATTGTTAAGGATCTTTTTTTTTAATAAAAATTCAACCCCTGGGCAGTACATTGGTTGTTAATTGATTTTCATTATACAATGACAACCCCTAACTTTCTTTTCTTAATTTTAGGTCATTTGCAGTTTTCTTTTATATTCTAAATGACTAAATGGTGGGTTATTTTTTTCTACCATTCCTCTCTTTGCCTCAATTTCCTTTTGATGACCTGGGCCATTAAAGGGACATTTTACACATTAGAAAGAGGCAATCCAGTGCGAAATGAATCAGCCTTTTAAAGATGGTTTCATGTAATTTCTTTAATGTGTGTTTTCTTAAGTCTTTTTTTCTAAGACCATTTATCAGCTAGCCATGGTTCATATGTGATAGCCTAGCTGCTGAACATTTTTAAGAAGTGGATGTTCTTCCTCATTTCCTCCCTTTTATTTTTGCTTTGTTGAGCTAACTGTCTCAACAACTGGTGCTTATAACAACTGGTCATATGAAGGATTTTTTTTTTAATGCAATCCTGGGCATTTAGCTGGGTCACAAATCTAAATCCAGTTGATCCAGTATTATGAACACCTCAGGTCTAGGGGGGTCTCATTATCTTAAATTACGAAGCAGTGGTGATTGTTATATATGTACACCATCTTTGTACTCTCTAATTCCACACACCTGTTCTCATGTTTTTTTTAACTGAAGGAATAATACAGTTTGCTAACACTGGTTCCTGTGATAGTGTGGCACAAAAGTTACTGCCGCATTCCATATAACTGTAAGAGAGACCAAAGGGTTTATTTCTAAAGGCAAGTATGTTTTCCATTGTGCATCCCTTTAGACTTTTGGCCACAAGAGGATAACTTATTAATAGCAATAATATTCCTATAGGAGACCCTTTATCTATAGCAATTAACTCCTCAGTCTGGAAATATGAAGGGTATAGGGATAATGATTAGATGTGTGATTTTGTTAATGTAAAGATCTTTCCAATGAGGACACTCTCCCTACCACTGTAGGTCAGCACTTCCTCTACAGCCTGTAGTTTTGGGTTTTCTAGAACTCAGAGAAGTTAAGGACCTTGCCTGATGGCATAGCCAGCATATGTCAGATAAGGGACTTGACCTCAGGTTTTTCTAACTCAAAGGTCAGCTCTATCCTCTAAGCCACTCCACTTCAAGAGTATTATACAATTAAAATTCATGAAATTATAAAGAGTATAGGAAAGAGTGAGCATAAAAGTATTCTTGAAAGACAGGGTACCCCTGAAATGTTAAAGGAGGTGGTTTTGGGGCAAATAATAGAAAATATATGAAAGATGTTTTGACTTGAAATTGTATAAATGAGAAAACTCTAGAAACTTAAAAAAATTTTTTTTTACTGATATAGAAGCCAAAATTGAATTTTGCATATGCTAAGGATTAGCAATAGGACTGCAGGATCTCTCCCCCTGCCCCTACCTCACTCATTGGTGATTATCTGTTTTCATAAGTAGCCACTCTTTCATTTACGTCTTAACCTGGAGAGACAGTAAGAAAGGAATGGGAGGAACGTGAACTAAATCTTGGCTAACCTAAATTTTGGACTAATATAACTGATTTTCTATAGAACATAATAAATATGCTTTCCTGGTTAAAAATTCTAGTTTTTCTGTGGACCTGAATGGTTTTAATGGGTCTAGCTTTTTTACAATTTTTCTGGTTTTCTTAATTTTTCACTTTCTTTTCTAATTCCTGTCCTAACATAGTTAAAAACCAAGCTTAATGAGTTTGATAACCAGCTGTCTTTGGAACACCTAACAGGGATGGGGAACTTGTGTCTTTTCTTTTTTTTTTTTAGGCAGTTGGGGTTAAGTGACTTGCCCAGGGTCACACAGCCAGTAAGTGTCAAGAGTTTAGTCTGAGACCAGATTTGAACTCAGGTTCTCCTGACTTCAGGGCTGGTGCTTTATCCACTGTGCCACCTAGCTGCCCCCAGGAACTTGTGTTTTCGAGGCCACATGTGGCCCTCTAGGTCCTCAAGTGCGGTCCTTCGACTGAGTCTAAGTTTTACAGAACAAATCCTGTGAAGTTTGGATTCAAAGAGCTGCACTTGAGGACCTAGAGGGCCACATGTGGCCTCAAGGCCTCAGGTGCCCCACCCCTGAAGTATCATGCACATTTTAGCATACATTCATTTCCTATAATAGTGGAATTGCATATAAAACATTTGTGAGTGCATTATATAGGATATCTTTGTTCCAGAAACTCAAAAGGACATATACGTTGATTGATTTTATCCAAATATAGATCTGCCTTTTCACAGCACTTTTAGAGGTAGTTAAAGTTGAGTATTTTTGGCAGTTTGTTTGGAAACCGTACACAGAGAGGAAAATTATAAAATGTGATTTTTTTTTTTGGAGTGTTGTGGACATACAAGCTTTTGCCTGTTGAATTGCGCATGGATAACCTGTCCACATTTCAGAAACAGAGACTTGGGCTGTAATAGCTGAAGTCTCTGCTCTGTTGCTTTAGCATGCCTGAGGCCCTGGGATGTTGAGAGCTGCAGGCTTTTGTCAGCTGTTTTTCTTTGGTTGTAAGCTTCATTGTTTGGTTTAATGTCCTTGATCAAAATCTCTGAATTTGGAAGGCCTAGGGAAATACACAAACAAGCTGAGAAATTAAAAATGGGAACAATCTCTGGGACAGACATGTCCATCTTCCTGATAGTGCAAGATCATTGTCTTTAGGAAGGCTGTCCCAGGGGCCTCTTCTAGTCTGGGCCATATATGTGTGTATTTGCATGAAATTTGCATAATATTTCCATACTTGTATATCTGTTTAGAGACATTTTCAGGGCCAAACTCCACTGTTTCTCCTTTAAAGGTTATTTCTTTTTCGTTACTCTTGTCATCTATCATCACTGACTCCTCCTCCTTTACTAACTGTCTAGCATAGAACAGGATAGTGGTTGATAGGAAGAGATGAAAGAGGATGAGGATGATATTGACCTTCCAAAATAACTGTTGGGCTAGATAGTTCCTGAGTCAGTTATGGGAACAGTTCTTTCTAATGAGAACTGTGAATCCCACATACTGTGTCTGTAGAACAAAAAACACTTTTTATTTTCCCGTGCATGTTTGAGCTTTTAAAGTTAAAATGCATTGCATGAGTGCACGCACACACACACACACACAGAGTCTGGGGAAAGAGAACATGGATAGGGAGAGCAGTGACACTAAGAAAGATGTGCCCACTAAGACGTGAACAATAACACCTACTGGGGCGATTTTCTTGCTCCTCCTCCTGCACCAGGGTTTCCTGGCAGCTCTTTGCTCAAGAGAAGTCAGTTCTCATCACACTTGATTAACCCTCACAGTTATGGGCTAGCACAGACCTCCCTGACAAGACAGAGTAAAGTTTAATTGCTGTTATTTTCATGATGAATGAAGCCTTCCCCATGCTGGCTTCAAAAAAGTTAAACACTTCAGCACTGAAAATAGAGAACAGGAAGAAAATGAGGTATGGGGGGAGGGGACAGTAATTCAGCTCTGGGCATCAACTGGTATCTCTGAAGACCTTTTTTTTCCCTCCTTAGATAAAATGAGAGGCTGTTAATATAACTTACGATCTTAGAGAACTCCATCAGCCAAAGCTGGCAGGTCCAAAATTCATTCAAATTGTTCATCATCTAGTATACTATGATCAATGGACTCTGAATAATTGGTATCCATTGCAGTATCCTTAGTGGAAGTTTTTCATTTAGGGGCATGGCCTAACACTGTCCTGGGAAAAACAAATGAAAGCAAATTTTACAAATTTGCAAGGGTAAATCCAGACCTTCCTACTTGCCTAGATCCAGGAAAACCTAACCAGAATTAATGTGACACCTGCAACCCACATCATCATACAGATAGGCTCTAAGAATTTTGCTATACGAGGTCATTATAAAAGTGGAAGCAATCTGTTTTAGCAAAAAGGATAGAGTTTAAGCTAAAGCTCATAGTGTCATGGTTGCTATTTTAATTGAAATCTTGAGGTCAGAGAACTGCATGCTGTTTTCTATTCCAAATACCTAGTCCAGTGTCTTTCACTCACTTAAGAAGTGTTCCTTGGCTTGAACAATTTTATTTGTTAAAAAGAAGTCCTTCCTTTTACTGAATCAAAATTTGCCCAAGTTAAATTTTCTGAGTTAAAGGAAGATAGACATAATAAGAACCCCATTAGTCCTACTGCTTATTTTCTTTAAGCACCTTTGATTTCTGAGCCTTGAACATGCATTGAAATTTCACAGGACCTTAGGATTTTCAAGTAGGAAAGGACCTCAGAAGTCATCTCATTCATACCCCTTAATTTCAGCTACAAAACTTGCTTGATATTTGACTTCTTAATGCTTCAATGTCTTTATATCTGTGAAATAGGGATAATGATTCTCTGCATAAAATCTAAGCTAAATATGACTTATTTATGCTCTTGTACCTGTACTATTCTGCACCAGTAGTTTCTGTTCCCTGGGAGTTCAGTTTCCTCATCCAAAAATAAAGGAATTAGATTAACTCAAAATATTATATTATCTTATGACTCATCATTCCAAATCCAGGGTTCTTTTGGAACCCCAGGTTCTCTTTCATAGGTGTAAGTCAGATTACTTTTTGAGGGCTAGATTTGAAGGCATTGATATATCAGTAGCCTAAATAATAATACTATATTTTATATAGTTCTTTAAGTGGTTCTTTACAAATATCTCAGTTTATCTTCACAACAACCCTGGGAGGTAGGTGCTATGATTATCTGAGTTTTACAGTTGAGGAAACTGAGGTAGACAGAGGTTAAGTGACTTCACCAGGGTCACAAAGCTTGTAAATGTCAGAGGTAGAATCTGAATTCAGGACTTCCTACACAGCAAAATGAATATGCTTAAAGCATTGATTTTGAAAACTGACAGAGATTTTATTTTTTATGCTGCCAGCAACTTCTTTGGTACACTATTTCATTTTTGTGTATTTTCTTTAATAATGGAAATTTGTATACCTGTCTGCTTTAGCAGACACTCCTTCTGAGTGGTTGTGACCAAAAACGAAAACAAAATTGATCACTTCATGGCCAGCCTTTGGTTTATGAGCCTCTCTCAAATTAGCTAGGCACATTCTTGGAGGATGAAGAGCCAGTCCATCATTAGGCTCGTACTTAAAGCCTTTCCATTGTAGTATAATACCTGTCAGAGCCTGTGCACCCCTGCCATAACATTTGAACTCAGGGTCACCTACTTTCGATGTTGAACAGTGTTATTGTAGAATATATTTAACACTGGGCTGGATTTGGAAAGACAGATAAATATAAAAAATCCTAATTAGTAAAAAATATATATATCAAAAGGAGGTCTGGAATATATTTTATGTAGAGAGAGACACAAACAAATGGAGGAATCAAGACTTTAAGTATGAATTTTTTTTAAAGTTTAGGCTAAGACTCAGCTTAAACTAAGGGAAAGGCACTGGACTAGGTATTTGGGATAGAACACCACACCTGACCTCAAGATTGCAATAAATCAAAAAGATATGAATATCAAATATCAATACTTCCTTAAATAATAATTATTGATAATTGAATATGCTGCCTTATTGATAGCTATCATAGCAAATACACTTGGCATATCAATTTTTAAAGAGTTTGAAAATATCACATAGTTAATTCACACTAAAATTATACAAAGCATGCTTCCCATTGGTAATTGAAAAGGTCTTTCAGGAAATGAGACAGACTCAGTCAGGGTTAGTGTCAATTATTATTGGAAAATACTGCAAAAAAATTCTGATATATTTGGATTCTAGGTAAAGAAGTGCCTTGCGTTTTTAAAGAAAAAGAATGGTAAAATTATAAATTAGTTATATTCTATTTATAAATAACATTTATATCCTATTTATAAATAATTATAATTTATTATTTGTAAAAAGAATATAATTTTATTGTGGCAATTGAGGGAAGAGGCTTTCAAAAAGTGTCTACTTGGGAGTTTACTTCTCTCCAGGTCATTTTCAGGAACATTTTACCTTCAAAAAGATGGTCAGAAGTTTTAGTTGCGTTATTTTTCCTTATTGTACAATATCATGAGAGGCACACAGGAACACATATGGCAGTATATATTTTTTCATATGAATATTTTTGTAAATGTCTTTTAATGACCAAAAAAAAGATACTACTACTACCACTGCTACTGCAGCTATTATATGTGTTCATAATAATGCTTTATAGTTTACAAAGCACAGTTAACTATCTCATTTCATTCATTTGGGATAGAAAACCACACCTGACCTCAAGATTTCAATAATCAAAAAAATGTGAATATAAAATATTAATACTTCCTTAAATAATAATTATTGATAATTGAATATGCTGCCTTATTGACAGCTATCAAAGCAAATACACTTAGCATATCAATTTTTAAAGAGTTTGAAAATATCACATAGTTAATTCACACTAAAATTATACATTATATATGTCCCCCTTTGGGCAGTTGGGGGTAAGTGACTTGCCCAGGGCCACACAGCCAATAAATGTCAAGTATTTGGTCTGAGGTTTTGAACTCAGGTCCTCCTGACTTTCAGGACTGATGCTCTATCCACTGCGCCACCTAGCTGCCCCTCATTTCACCCTTACAACAACCCTGTGAGGTAGTCAGTTACCTAAGTAGTGCTATCATCACTTTATAGAGGAAGGCTTTGAGTCCCAAAAATTTTAATTGACTAACTCCACATCACACAGCTGGCAAGTGAAAAGGGCAGGGTTTGCACCTATTTTTTAGACTTCTGCATCATGCCACTCTTCATCCTTCACTGTCAAACAGTTGTGAAACTACATATGATGGGTTTTAAAGTATGTGGTATTGCTCTTCGTGGACATGATGTCAATGGGTCACTTTTTATATTTTTTAGGCTGGAAATTGAATCCAGTTGTGGGTGCAGTGTATAGTCCTGAATTCTATGCAGGTAAGAACATCTCTGTGTATGACAATGTCTTTTTCTTTTTTTCTTTTTGACTTTTTTTTTCCAGTTTGTGTGGCCTGTCAATCATGAGTGGAGTTTGTAGAATGGACTGATAAATAAATAACTTTCTTGATAGGTTCTGAATGATTTCTTTGGGCAAAACAAAAAGGCTATTTAAAAATCATATAAATAATAAAGAAAGACTCCTTCATTTAACATATTATACATAGGGGTAAGTATGGGGAGCCTCCCCATTGACATCGTTGATTTTGCCTGAAAGAAGCATATTCACTTTTTCAAAACCTGTCTGGAGAAATGTAAACTGATCTACAATTATTTTCCTTCAACATACTTATGTGTGTAAGCCACACACTTTTTATTTAGTTTATGTTACACTGTTACAGGCAGAGCAAAATGAAGAATTAATTATCTGTACAATTCAGGAATGAGGTAAAGATGAACTGCTCCTGAAAAGGTTTGATTAACTAGAAAGATCTTAGATTCTTTCTACATGGATGTTACACTTGGTGATTGCTTCTTTGCCCACTTTGGCTTCATGTCTGTATGTCCTGGGTAAGACAAAGTCCTTGCAGTGAACGTTCTACTACCCTCTACCTGTAGTAACTTGGCTATCAAAAATTTTGAGGGGAAAAATAACATGTAGTGTTGCAATCTTAGAAGCCATGAGCTTTGATCTGAGTTAAATACCTTAAATGATTTTGTGACATTGCCACCCTCCAGCCCATTTCTTTCCTCGCTCAGCAAAGAAGTTCTCTATTGGCTTAGAAACATAGCAGCACATTGTTGAAATGCAGGGGTCATCACTGACGGGTGGGAAAGGGTGGAACATACATGTATAAGAGAGACAGTATGCTGTAGAGAACTTCCTTAGATCCAGGAAGACCTGGGTTCAAGTCCCCTTCTGCTACATAATGGCTTGGTAACCTTCGGAAAGACATTTAACTTACCAGTGTTCTGAGCACACTAATTTTTTTTTTTTGAGGCAGTCAAGGTTATGGGATGTAGCCAGAGTCACAAAGCTAGTAAGCATTTTAACTCAAGTCCTCCTTACTCCAGGGCTGGTTCTCTATCCTCTGTACCACCTACCTTTCCCTCAATGTTCTGAGCAACACTCTTAAAACTAAAACGTTGTGGAGTGGGTGCTGAACTGCATCAGTAAAGGAATTTCCTCTTCTTCAAGTTCCCTATATCAATTAGATCCATAGGTCTTAGCCTTATACCTACATGTGATTTTTTTTTTGTTATAAGGAAGAATACACATATCTGCATTACAGATATATACTTGTAATATGTAATAAATGTTTGTAGAATGGGGGGAAGGTGGGAATAGTTGACATTTGGGGTTTGATTATATGCCAATTTGTTGTTCAGTCATTTCATTGGGTGTTTGACTCTTCATGGCCCCTTTTGGGGTTTTCTTGGCAAAGATACTGGAGTAGTTTGCCATTTCCTTCTCCAGCTCATTTTACAGATGAGGAAACTGGCAAACAGGGTTAAGTGAGTTTACCAGGGTCACACAGCTAGCAAGGGTCTCAGGCTGCATTTGAACTCAGGTCTTCCTGACTCCAGGCCCAGTGCTCTTTTCTACTGTGCCACCTAACTACAGATTATATGCCAAACACATGGATAAAGAATTTTTCAAACAATGTGGTCTTTTATGCAGATATTTGGGCCATATAATAACCACTGTCTGGAGTTTGACCCAGGTTTTTTCAGTTTTCATTTATGCGTTTGATGACCTGTAGACCCAGCCTTAGGGCAGTGGATTCTGTTTGTGAACAGCTGTGGGGAATGTTTTGGTAGGAAATCAATCTAAACTATTGAGAATTAAATTTTTAATTCTCCATGGATTTCAGCCTTCTGTGTTCTCCCAGTTCACCATTGTTCCTGAAAATTGAGTGGATGATTTGCCATTCCACTAAGGTTCTTTGGGGGTGAAAGTGGAAGAAGGAAAAGAAATTTATATGTCTAGTTTTGCCAGTTAATTCTTAGAGCTGAAGAGTAGAAAACTTTTTAATGTGTGCTCACAGTAGCACGCAGAGGTTTACAGCTACTACTGGAGCATACATTCCCCTCTGGCTTTGAAGAAAGCTCAGCTTAGGAGCCCAAGTGGCAACTTAATAGTGGTGTTGTAATGTTTCATGCAACAGACAAGACATTGCTTCTGGATAAAACTGAAGGTAGTTATAAGCCTGGACTACAGGTAAGTTTGGGTCATAATTGTCTTCTTTTGCTTTTTTCTAAATGTCATGACCACAAAAAAAAATCCAAGACAAAGCAAATGGTAAGTGATGAACAAGCGATGTGTTCATCTGGAGAAAGGGGAGTAGATATTTTCTTTTTCTTAGTCCCAAATCTAATTTGACTACAATCATTAGTCACATTAGCCAGAAAATGATCAAATCTCAATTTTTAAAAAAGCCTATTTGTGTATTTGCCCACAGGGACATAGAATCACAGTTATTTTAGATGTTGGGAGGCAGCTAGGTGGCTCGTTGCATAGAGCACTGGGCTTAGAGTCAGGATGATCTGAGTTCAAATACAGCTTCAGATACTAGCAGTGTGATCCTGGACAAGTCACTTAACCTCTGTTTGCCTTCGTTTACTGGAGAAGGAAATGGCAAACCACTTTAGTATCTTAGACCCCATGATGAAGTGACTGAATACGTATGTTCTAAAGTTACAGATAAGATAGGCCTATACTCCTGAGCCAATAAAGTTATGACCCAGATTTAAAAAAAAATTAAATGTCATTGCCTCCTAAAACTTCTGGTTGCCTCATTTCTTTCTGCTGCACCATGATTACCTTAATTAAACTTGCAAAGTGAAAGCAGTGAAACAGTTATCTAGATATTTCCAACCTAGAAGAACACTGAACACTTGAACCTTAATTATCTATTTTAGGTGAAAGTTTTATGTCTGATTCAAATAGACTTCTGTAGTCCTCTTCCCTCTGCTGGCACTAGGATGAAAAACATCAGAATGAAAAATCAGAAGCACATGAGCACGCTTGTATGTGCACGTGTCCATCTCTGTGTGTCTGTATGGACATAACTTATGACTTTCAAAAGCTGGGAAAAGGTTGGAAGAGGAATTTACGTTAAAGTGTTTGCTGACCTGAAAATATTTTTAATTGATCTAAAATAGACCAATGTATTTCTAATTTAGGCTGCACACATACATAGAAAAACACATGCACGTAAATATGTGTCTATCTAAACACCTGGATAATATCCATTTAGTGGGGCCATACAACTGTTCGGTGTTGTTTAGTCATTTCAGTCATGTCCAACTCTTTGTGACCCCATTTGGAGTTTTCTTGGCAAAGATCCTGGAGTGGTCTGCCATTTTATTCTCCAGCTTATTTTACAGATGAGGAAATGGAAACAGACAAGGCTGAATGACTTGCCCAGCGTCACACAGCTAGTAAGTGTCTGAGGCCGGATTTGAACTCAGGAAGATGAGTATTCCTTATCAGCTGTTCAAATGCTGCCACAGTCTATAAAAATATTCATGAATTGGCGACCTTAGCTATTTTAGATGTTCCTTACCTTGGAGATAGATAGATAGATACCTTTCTCCTATTTGCAATGCTGAATGTATCTAAGTGGAGAGAGAGGCTGTGACATTGATTTGATTGAGGCATTTAGCAATTTTAACTTGAATCTGCATGAAATAGAAAGCTGGAGTCATTAGTCATTTTTGTATATATGACTTTTTATTAATGATGACTATAATAATATTCCCATAGCATAATTATTGATTTTCAAAGCTTATGCAGAATTAACAACCCAGCCTCCAATTGTCTCTCAGAGTAGGGCATGAAGAGTTCACATATTTTGTAAATTAAAATCAATATTTTCAATCTCTCCTAAAGGTAATTTTCCTAATTTAGTGGACCTTTTCCTAACATTTATTTTCTCTTTTAATTATAAAATGGCAGGTTATTGATTTTTGTATATAACCTCTCAAAGTCCCCAATGCATTTTTATTGCAGGGTGGGGTTAGGGAGAGCAGTTGTACTTCTTAATGAGAACCTTTAATTACTAGCTCAACAGTATTAATTTTGTTTGATGAATTATGACATACTTTCTCCTACAGCGTAAAAGAAACATTTAGGAAGCTTTTATGAAAGACACTTTCCAAGTGGTGGCTTTCTGAATTCTGAACTAGAATCACATACCCATAATTAAAAAAAAAATACATCCAGTTTCCATTTCCAGAAACACGCACTCATCACTGTATCCCATAGATATCTAAAATCTGTTCAAAGAGTGTTGGGGTTTTTTTTTCCCCTATTAAGTTAAATAGTATTGATTTTTTTTTTTAATCTAAGCAATCCGGAAGCTAGAGGGAGAGCCCAGACCTGTGAGCAATAAAACGGTGACACAAGCAACTACTTTCTTCTTGAAGATCTTTGACATTTTAGCCATGGTTTCTGGACACTCTCTTCTTGAGTTTTGGAGAGAAAGGTGTTAAACAGAGTTTGGAATATTTGAAAGTATATGGAACCACCAGCAATACTGATGTTATTTAGTTTTATTATTGGTAGTTTCAAAAGTGTTCAGATGAAAATGCCCCAATGGGGCTAATGCCAAAGATTACATGGTCAGTAAGAGAAGTTCTTTTGCTTACTTATTAATAAGTGATGAAAAATTTGGCCAAATATACATGAGATTTCTACAAAGAAACTATTGATTTAAAGCACCTTTAATCTTCATAAATAAATAAAAACAAAACAAAACATAGAGTTACACCAAACTGTCAAGATGGTACTGATGAATAGGAAATTCCCCAGTTTCTCAATTGCTGGTGAAGACACATGCTGCAAGGCTTAACTGCATTGTATATCATATCTGCCAACTCATTTCTGTGATTAAATATTCCATCAGTGAGGCTATAAGGCTGTAAAGCTTAACAAGATTCATAAGATGCACCACTTGAATACACATAACTCACTTGCTGGGATGGAGAGCACCCCG